TCTCCCCTTTTCGCCCCCGTTTCTCCGCCATGATACGTTCGATCGAGCTGAAATTTTTTCTGTAGGTACTAGACATTGTTTGGGGTGCGTAATTATTTTTATTTCTTTCAATCTTCTTCTTTCAACGAAAAAAATCCGAAATACTGAAACCACCCTAAAAAAGAACCAATTTTCTCTTAGAGCGAATTTTGTTAAATCCGCCAAAAATCAACAGAGCAATATTTTTTGAAACGAAAGCAAATACGCACCTGAAACTTCATATATTCTAGTTTTACGTACAACGTCATGTTATTTTTGATAAAAATTTGTTTGTTAGTAATAATTATGAAACATAAATTGCTATTCATTGACGATTTTCATCGTTACTAATGATAAAAACAGTATATTATCTAATTATTTTTATTTACACACACATCGATCATTATAGGGTGCGAGTATCTATGTCACCTAATTATTTATTTATTTATTTATTTATAGATTACATACACATTTGTAAACGTGTTAGAAGTTAAAAAATAAAAAAATATCTAGAAAAACAAAAAATGTTTCGAGCATTTGTTCCATTATCCACTGGAAAATTTTGGAAACACCGCGTTTAAAGTGTGTGTGTGTGTGCGATCTTTGATTTTTCTTAAAAAATTTGTGCTCGCGTGCGCGTTTTAAACGCTTCTATGTTTCAAAATATTCCAGTGGGTAGTTTTTGTTAACGTATACTAATTCTACAGTTCAATAAATTCAAAAACTGCTCGAATATTTTCATGAGATTGTAGATTCGATTCACAATGACAAAAATTTGTTAAGTAAATATTCGTTCAAATAGAAATTACAAAAGAAAACTTATCAAATCCCAATGGTCAGTCTGTTGATGTATTTTATTATTCTTTTATGCTATCATACTCGCACTCAGAATAATCTGATCTCGTATGAATAAACACAGTATTCTCTATGTCTTCCACTTCATTATGAATTTTTCTTGTTGACGGATCACGACATACGGATATTTCTGATGACTTTATCATCTCAGTTGTTGTCTGTAATGATGATGGTATTTGTTCAAGCGTCTGATCACATTTAAGTAATAAATCGGTAATCGATTCTCTCAGTGCTGTTAAATATGTACTTGTTTCAATTACAAAATGTTTTGTACTAATGTTTGGATTAACTGATAAATCGAGAAATCTGGAAGTAAGTTGTGTTTGTTTTATGATATACTGAAGTTCAGCACAAATTTTATTTTTAATATCACTTAATTCGATTTTATTAATATGCGTAACATATCCAAAATCTTTCATCGTATCACTTTCTGAACAGTTTAATATTTCTTTGTTGTTAGTTGTATTTAAAATACTTTCAGTACCGTAAATCGATGATATATTTTCTATTTCATTTGCTGATTCTCTTCGTACACGTTTTGATGGTGGTGGTGAAAATTCATTTGATGTTGACCGCTGAATTGGAAGATCATTTGTTGCTGTTTGCCGTAAAATGTTCTCATTGTTATTATTTTTGATAATATTTTCTTTTAATTTGCATATTTGCTTTTGAAATTTTTGATCAGTATCAATACTGGTATGAAAACTGTTACAATGACGTTTAAAGTTTCTGACTAGAACCGGTTTAAGACACAGAGGACATTTGCCTGACACATTACTTGACATATTC